GAATGAAGGCTACACACACACTTGCCCACCTGAGTGCAAAGAGGGATGAGCAGGACAAGGAGCCTCAGGTATAGAACATCTGGAAGCTGGAAGATGGGATGAAAACAGCGATAGAGAGTCTGGAGACCTGGATTCCACCCCTGGCCTTGCCACCCGCTTCCCAAGGTCCCTTTACCCTCCTCACCCAAGTGGAGGGGGTGCTCCCGAGGATCAGCAAGGCTCCTGTTCAGTCCTGGGCTGCTGTGATTTCAGTGGGGGTGGAGTTAGGCAAGGAGCCCTGACGGAGGTGAGTGCTGGGCAGTCTTGAGGAGGGGAGGGTCATGGACATGGAAGAGGGAAACGGCATTTCACCCTCCAAGGCTGGCAAAGGCACACAAGGAAAAGAAGCGATTGCCAGCCAGACATGGCAGGCTCATCCGCCCTTGAAGGCTTGGTGGCAATTAAGTTTGGCACAGTCCACAGTGAGGAACAGCTGTAGGTTCTTTTGGGGTCTTTGGCTGTCGAGGAGAGACACAGTCTTAACCAAGGGATCTTCCACCCAGAGGCTAAAGCTGCCAGAGGCCCCCGTTTCTGGGAGTCATCCCTGCACTGGGCTCCCTTCCTTGGCTGTGGCCTCCCTGGCCTTTGGAAGGACAGTCCAGCATCCAACCCTTCCTGGAGGGTAGAGGAGAGGAAAAGAAGTGGTTTGACCCCAGGCCTGGAGATCCTCAGGCCTCCAGGGAACCACAGGCTTCTTCCTTCCTTATTCCCACCTGTTTGCTGCCACCACTCCCACCTTCTACCTGGTTTGGAACCCTGTGCAAGCCACAGAGAGCAGCAGGTGCTGTAAATCTGAGTGCCAGGGCCCCAGCGTGACTGTGCTCCTCTGATTACAGCAGACTTGGACACGATCAAGGACTCTGATGGCAATCATACTATATCTGACTTAAAGTTCATGGCTCCCCTGGTACCTGAGACTTCCAAATTCCAGGGTCCTTCCCTTTCTTCTCCAAGGCTATCTGATCCCCTAAGTCAGATGTCAGCGAACTTTTCCTGTAAAGGGACAGATGGTAAAAACTTCAGGCTTATGTAGCTCATACCGTCTGCTCTTGTAGTGCAACTGTGCATAGGATGTTCCAACCAAACTCATGGACACTGAAGTTCAGATTTCATATAATATTCATGTGTTGCAAGACACTATTCTTTTTTTGATTTTTTTCCCAGCAATTTACAGGGTAAAAAACCACCTGTAAAGGGGCAGATGTGAACTATACATTTGGAAGGACATTTGCTTGTGAGCTATACAAAAACATGTGGAGGGTTGTGCTTGGCCCACAGGCCATAGTTTTCCAACCCGACTTAAGTGTTAGCAGCTCGTTCATCCAAACGGAGATGGCCCAAGTCTTTCATTAGCTATGTCTTTCTGGCTAATCCAGGTGGCTTGTCTTAGCCTCCAAGACTGACTGTGGCTTTAAGTTCCCCTAAAGCAGCCTTGCCTTTTCAGCTGAAGTCTCTCTTCCAAAGTGGCTTGGTTGGAGGCTCCTGGAGGCACACCCTCCTCCCTGCCTACCTAGCATCCTGCACAAGGCCTTCTCTCTCACCTATGAACAGGCTCCCCGGGGCCAGTACACGGCCACTGCTGCTGTCTTGCAGCTATGTGCATCTGGGCCTCGCCAGAGCATCCTGGCCCCCCCGGTTGCGGCAGGCCTCATCACCCCCTTTTTTTGTTCAATTCCCAACCCCAGTGTTGCCAGAGTTCCAGAGCCAATGTCCTTTTTATAAAGGGAGACCTTGTGTGCAAGGAAAGCTGGGAAGAGGTCAGCTAGAGGCAAATTCCTGGAGAAGAGGGATTTTAACTTGGGCTGGACAGGGATTGAAAAGAGGGAGGCGAGGACAGGTGCTCTGGACAGAAGCAGGAGAGGGTGGGCCATGGGCTGGTAGCAGCGAGAAGGGAGCCTGCACTCAGAGGCATAAGAAGTAAGAGAGAGGCCAGGCTGGGGGCCAGTCAGGCGGGACCTTAGCGGGTGGGTTGGCCTGCTGGGCCCTGGGAAGCCCATTCTGAGAGGCTGGAGGAGCCTGGAGAGGCACCCGCAAGGGCCTCGCCTTCCAGGCCTTGGTTCTAACCTGGGCCCTGAACTCTCCGTGCCTTCAGCTATTCCTGTGACACCCCTTCAATGACCCCCACTGAGAGCCAGGCATGTCTGACTTGGGGAAAAGATCGGGGGGGCGGGGAGGAGGTTGGTAAAAAGAAGAAGGGGGAACGTTGAATCGTGTAAGAATCCTGCTCCCATAAATGTAGAGTAGGAGGGAGGACACACACACACACACACACACGACTACAACCCAACAAAGAGAGTGCTCAGTGCCTCACGGGAGCGCGGACAAGAGGCTCAGGCAAGGGAGAGGTCACGGATGGGCAAGAGGGGGCGCTGGTGAAGAGTAAGAATGTGAACTGTCTCAAAGGATAGGGGACTCCGGACCTGCAAATGTGGGGGAAGGTGGGCCAGGATGAAGTGACACCGTGGGCCAAAGGGGTTATAGTGGAGGTAGGAGCATGTGCAGACAAGAGCGAGGAACTGTTCGGTGTGCGTTCTCAGTGTGGGAGGGGTGCCCTTGGTGCTACTTTGGGGGCAATTTTTTGTTGTCGAGTCTGTGCTGTGCAAGTAGGTCTTGCATTACCCCTGCCCCACTCCCTTGTGCCCCCCTCACGCCAGTACCGCTGTGACTTTCCACTTGCAGTTTCAAACGCTCTGCACCCCATGGCAACTACCAGTTAGGTTTGTAAAGGCAAGCAGTAAAAAAACAGAGTTGGACTAGAAAGGCAGAGTGCCATAACCAGGCCGCAGGGGGGCCCTGAGTGCCAGGACAAGACACTGGCACTTTATTAAGCAAGCTAGGAGCGGCCCCTGGAGGTTTTCCAGTAGGGCGGGCATGAGGGCTGCTTCAGGAAAGTGGAATTTGGAGCAATGTGCAAGATGACAGGCCTAGGCAAGGTGGGGAAATCCGTTAAAATCTCCTGAGACCTTTTCTCCCAGGTTATTTTCAGTCAGGGTGGGCTGCTTTGCCTACAGTTATTGGCAGGAGGCAAAGGTCAAGGAGAGGTCCTGACTGCACACCCCCCTGCTGACTTCTGGAACAGCCTATTAGAATAGCATCTGCTGAATCAGGATTCACTGTTGCCCTGTCTTTCAAATCAACCCTGGGGATGACAAATCAACTTGGGGATGACAACACAGCTCCTCCCCATCGGCCCACACTGGCAGAATGTGTGTAAATCTAGCAAAATAAGGAAATGGCAAACCTTTGAGAGCTTTTCCCCTCCATGTTCAAGGTCCACTGCCTTCTTAGCAAGGCACCTTTTGGAGCCTAAACAAGGGAACTATTCAGCCTAATCAAAGGAGAGAGAGGGAGGAAGACACTCTTTGCTCTGCCCCTTCCCTGGCCAGGACAGGACATGGCTTTTGATCCAAGGCCCAAAGAATCCCAAGCTGATAAAGGCCCATGTGGCAGCTTCTGGAGAAACAGAGGCCATCAGGGGCCTCTGGGGCTAAGCAGTCAAGTTAACAGCCCTTGAACATTTGTGAAAAGAATTTCTTGGCGGAAGTCAAGGCAGAATGAGGCCCCTGGGCTGCACTGGCACCATCCATGGCAGGCGGGCTATTGGCAAAAGTAGCAGGAACCTGGCCTGCCACCAGCAGGGCCGACCAGAAGGCAGAGGGAACCTAGAGGCTGCAGAGGGCTCCTCTACACCTGGAGTCCGAAACCCCATCTCCCACCAAATACAAGAAACACAATTGCTCTTTTAAGAAGTGCCTGGGGAAGAGAGGAGCCTCCGGCCCCCACCCCAATGAAGGGTGTCCAAAGCAATAAACACCAGGAAAGGAGGAAGGGGTGAGTGGAAGCTGGTCTGGAACCTATTTAGGAATTATGCTCTCTCTGCTCCAGTCTTCAATGGGCTTTGTGAGTCCAGGCACCTCATCATTTGCAGGCCTCACTCTTCTAACCGCAGAAAACCAAAAGGAGGAAGAGAGCCTGAGATAAATGACACCGGGGGCAGCGGAAGGGAGATGGGCTGTCTGGGAGGCTGGTGGCAGTGTCAGGGAGAATGTGGCCGTGGTGGTGGGGCTGAGGTTCAGCTGAGGGTCAGGAGCCCACCAAACACTCCTCTGAGTGCTCAAGCGTGTGGGAAGAGATGGGGTCCCTACTGGGGGGTCCTGGGAGGGGAGCAGGGCAGAGATAGTCCCCAGTCCCACCCCAAATCTGTGCTTCCATTGGTTCCCTCTTCCCAGCTGACAGCTGGCCCTATCCCTCTGGGAAGAAATGCACAATCCAGGTCAGACACCAGCCGGCAGGGTCCTCTTAGACACTGTCCTGGGCCAGGTGGTGAACCCAGGGATTAACCTGAGAGCAGAGGTTACAGGGGTCAGCGGGAGGGCTCACTGCAGGCAGCTGCTTTCCATGTTGCTCCCAGAAGCATTTGAGGTTGAGTGACTGGCACGGTTTATTTCTCAATCACAGGTCTGCCCTCCCACCCTACCACCTGAAGTGCATCAACTCGGCCCCCTCAAATGCCAAATCACTTCCATATCAGAGCAGGATGGGCAATGTAAACCCACACAGAACACCCAAAGCCACTGAAATGTACACGAAAAACTGGAACATGCTGAGGGCTCCAGCACTCATGTGTTTTGTGTCGTTTCTCCTCCCCAACAGGGAAAGTGCTGCTGACAGTCTGGTGGGCAGGCTGCCAGGTCCTTCCGGGTAGTGGTACCAAAGACTCAGAGGAAAGTCAGCTTACCTCCACCAGCCTCTGCTTTCTAAAAACCCACCTCATGGCCTTGCTGACATCCATTTTGGGCTGGAGATGGGTCTGCAATCCAGCACAAAGCTGGTTTCTGAAACCAAACCATTTTCTGCTGGAGAGTCTGTCCCAGCTGGCGAAACAAACTGCACATAGAAACTGCTGGAACACTGTTCTGATCCCACAGCTCCCACAAAGAAAGAAGCAAACCCATTAGGACTGAGTGAGGTCTGGGTGTCCTTTATTAGACAGGAGTTTGCATACATTTATTTTCTCCTGTGGTTGGCCCTTCAAAGCGCACGCACACAGCCCCCTGAAAGGGCAGCCTCTGAGCAAGGCAGGCAGGAAAGCAGGATTCCAAGTCTTTGGCAGGCATGTTCACCCCAGCAGGATGCAATCCTTCAAGTTGGAATTCCTCCGGGTATTTGAGAGACACCAAGGTGGAGGGTGGGGGTGGAGAGGAAGTCTAATTGGACTCACATCAGTCCAGACCTGCTCTCACTATCCAAGTCCATCTCAGTTTCAGGTCCCTGAGGAGTGGGCAGCAAATCAGGCCCAGCCACCTTCACAGGGCAGATTCAATCCATGCCGTTTGCACACACCTGCTTCTGCTGACCTCACAGAAAGGATCAGCCTTATGGAAAGAGACAGACCACTTCCTCTCTGACCCTCCCCAGCACCTCTTCAGCTGGGTCTGTGCAGGAACCATTGGAAAAAATAAAGCCTGAGTTCTTGGTTCAGCTGACTGCCATCTTCCTCAAATCTTGAATAAATGTTAGGCTGGATGCTGCAAATTTATTCAGGTCAATGAATGTGCTGCCCAGACCGTCAGACAAACAGCCCTGCCTTTCTTCTGCCAAATGCCCAGTACCTAGGCGGGAGCTCCAGGAGGCCCTGGTCTGCATAGGCACTTGGCAATTTTTGGTAGGGAGGTGGATAAAAAGTGGATGGAAATGTGAATGAAAGAGCTTAATCTGATACAGTAATCTGATACAGTAATTAGAGATCTGAAGTGATTTCACTTTTATTTCCTTCACTTTAAGCCAATCATGAATTTTCACAGTGATTTCTGGGGTTGGGGCAGAAAGAAGGCGGTGTTAAGAATCATCAGGGCCGTGGCCCAGATGGCCCACGGAGGTGCAGGCAGGCAAGGCCTCACTGGGGCAGCTGGAGGAGCACCGACTGCCCGGCTGGCAGGTAGGTGATGTTCCGAGAGCGTGCCAGCTGGTATGCGATGTCCTCTGCGGCTTCCAGCTTACGCAGCTCAATCAGGCCATCACCCGCGGTGGCAAGTGAGTTGGCAATCAGCTCGGCTGCTTTGGAGTCACCCTCAGCAGAGATGATGGCCGCCTTCTTCTGCTGCTCAGCCTAAGAGGGTGGAGGTGTAGGGAGACCAGGGTCACACTTCAGGGTACTGGATGGCAGGCACAGCCTCAAAAGGACCAGGTTAGGCACCCTCGCTGCTTCCTGAAGGAGCTCTGGGAATTGCCATCTCCTCTCAATGGGGTCAACAAGCACTACTCAGCCAGTCCTCTGTTCCTGTGATGCCCAGTTCTCATCAGTATAAAGAGATACATATCTGTTGGCTGCATAAATGTGCCTTGTCTCAAAAGTCCTCACTAACAATGGAGTCCAGCAATGCAGTCCAGCCACCCTACTCTGAGCCAGGAGGATCACTGGCCAAAGAAAACAGGGAAGAAAGTGGACTTGATCCTATGGCTCATTTTCCCTCCAGTCCCGACTCAAAGTGAGTTTCACCAAAACCAGTAGCTAAGGAGCAGCAGGCGTGTGTAACACTCCCTAGAGTTGCCTGTGAGCTAAACGGGTTCTTGGCCAGAAACCTAGACATCCAAAATGAGACCTCCTTGGCCTTCTCTACCCCTATCGACGGGATGACATCCATGAGCAATGCAGGACTCTGAGGAGTGTGGGAGGAGAGGATGGACAGTACCGAGCCTCTCTGAAATTAGCATACGATACTCAACCTGCTACGCGCTGTGCCTGTTCATTCAACAAATGTTTACTGGGCACCAAGTATCCCCAGGCACAGTATAAGACATGTTCTAGGCTCTGGAGATAAGCAGAAAAAAGCAAAAAAAAAAAAAAAGGCCCTGTTCACATGGAGTTTACATTCTCTAAAATCAAATGTTGGCCATCCACATATGCCTCTCTTCCCCGATTCTAAGGACTAAGGGATCTTGGACTGGGAATCCTAACCCAGGAGAATCAATGGTGGAGAGAAGAGGATAGCAAGCAGTGAGTACACCTTTGCAAAGACCAGAAGACCTGGCTGTTATGCAAATACAGTGTGTCCCATCACACTGACACATCTGGATGGGTTTAGTGCTTGAAAAATCCCAGTGACGATAGTGCATCTGGTGCACCGTTTGATCCTTTCTTCTGTCAGCTTTCACTATGTAACCACGGTTAAAAATGACTTCTCAGTGAAGCTGAAAATATGCCAGGAGAAAACATTTTTATTTGTGGGAGAGTGTTTTTGACCTAAGGAAGTGGAAAAAAATTACCCTTCAGTGATGTAGGAACATAACTTCACATAACCCTGACCAGTCCCCAAAGACTCTGGAAGCAATTGTAGGACGATGGTCCCTTCAACCCCTTCCAATGATCCGGAAGAAGAGATGACAGGTGATGAATTTCCAGGCCACCCAGCAAACAGGGAGGCAGAGCACAGGAGAAAGGAAGAGGGGCTCCTGCCATCTGGCTGAATGCTTACCTTTTCCACCACAAATCTGGCCCTCTCCGCTTCCTGCTGAGCCACCTGTTTGGCTTCTACTGCTTCTGTGAACTCCTTCCCGAAGGTCAGATGCGTCTAGGGGGAGAGAGTGAGCACAAGATGAGGCAGCATAATCGCTTCCCCAGCGCTATTTCGAGGCCTCCATGGCTGCTGGGAGGAAGAGGCCAGGAATGGCTCTAGCAGCTGGAGGCATCGTGAGGCCCGAACACCCTTCCACCTCCACATCCCTGTCCAAACTGAGTTCACACCCTAGAATTCCTGGCTGCCGAAATTGCTCCTGGACATCATTCACCCCCAGAATGGAGATGTCAGGTAGAAGACAGCCCACGGGCACCAGAAGGTATCTACTGAATTGACTGCCCCCCCTATGGGAGGAAACGGGCAGTTCTAGAACCTCCACCACAGATTCTTCTAAGGTCCTTTGATGGCTTGCTCAAAACCCCCAGAGAAGCCAGACAGAAAATGAGCCCTCAGAGTGAGAGCTGCAGCCGGCTCTCAGGGGCTCAAAGGTGCGGCACCCTCTGCTGATGGACTGAGCAGTCCCCTCTGCTCCTGCAGCAGCTCCCCCAGGGAACAGGAAGAGGCTGAGAGAGAGACGGGAGAAATCACAGTATTCCCTGAGAATGAATGCTTCTGCTAAAGGGTTTAAAAGAAAGAGAAAGCAGGTAAAGCAATTGCTTAGGGTGCAGGTCATCCACAGACCTTCCCTAATAACAACCAGCCTCTTGGCGGAAGTGCCTGTCTGTAATGACAGTGCAATGGGGACAGACCTCCGAACACCTCATGTCTAGGCTAATTTACTTAAGTTAGCCAACGCTTATAAAAAGGAAGAAATAAATGGAAGAAGAGCATTAGTTTTGCTATCAAACGCCATTTGTTTCATTTCCTCCCCCACCCTCCCAACCTCTCTGCTTTTACAGAAAAAAATAAGCAGCTCAAAACTTCTGCTGAGAAGTAAATCCTAGTCCCACTCTCTTCCAGAATCTGTAACACTAACTCTTAAATTGCAGCTGTTCTGCTTCGCCCGCTCCACTTCTGAACTCTTACTCAAAGTTAGGGGAAGAAATAATCTGAGAAACAAAAAATGCAATGTGTAATTAAGGAATAAAATTTCCTTCCAAAAGGGCCAGGTGAGGGCAGCAAATTCCCCAAGAAATCTCATTTTCTTCTCACACCTCTTAGATACGGTTTCCTGTGGTCAGCCCACATTTCCTCAGAGTGGAGCATGTGGTTAAAGTCCAGCACAACCCAAGCTTCTCCTTAGGCTTTTACTTAGCATTTTCTCACAGCCAAGGAGTTTAGGTTGAGAAAAGTGGGAGAGCCTGAGGACAGGCTGTCAGAGAAGCCAAACGGCTGCAACCTGGCATCTCGCCAGCAGAGGGAGTCCACAGACACTCCCCCCTTCACCTCACCACGGATGCAAAGTGAGCAGAGGCCCATCAGTCAGCACCGGTGCTAGTGTGTGACTGTTTAAACAGCTGCACAGCTGCTGGGGGAGAAATGGTGTCTTTCCCTAGCGATGCACAGGAGAGCTGAACAGGAAGCGCTCTACCTCACTGCCCCAACAAATCACTCCAGCTGATTTTTCCCAGAGAATCTAGAAACACAACCCCTTCCCCTCAACCTCCTTGATCTGAATGGCTATCCTGCCTATATCGCTTTCTGTCTGAGTTATGGCATTCAGCGTCATACAAATACACAGACAATACGGTCTCAAGAGGATGGCTTACACCTCAGAGATGTGCCTTGTCCCCCATACCAGGTTTTAGGGAACAGAACCATTCATTTACACTCTATCACCTTCCAGTGGGCGCTCCCAGCGCTCACGTCACTGATGATCAGACCCTAAGTATCAGGATATTCCCAGGAGTCAGGCTGGGAGGTCTGCTCTAAGGATTATCCGAGCTGTTCTCTAGCCTCACCAGGCAGTTTCTTCCTCTGTCAAACAGGGGGAGTAAAGCGTCACTTCCTGGGGAGCTCTGGGGGAACACGCAGTTTGGGAAAGGTGAAGAACCTACTGGTTAGGGACCATCTGAGTAGGGCCTGAAGTCAAAAACAAAGTGAGTGTGGCAGAGGGGCAGAAAAAGAACCCTCTCATCTGGAAACAAAGCCATGAAGACTGCTTCGTACCTTTGCGAGGTTTCCATGTTTTCAAGTCTCACATCTAGGGAAGTGGAAGGCAGGACCTGGGAGTGTCTGCCCAACAGTGGAGCCAAGCCCCTAAGAACCGCAGGCCCTCCCCGGCAGGCTCCCCAAGGATCTTACCAAGGACACGTCATCCAGGATGAGCCCAAAGGTTGCTGCTCGCTCTGTAAGGTCGTCGCTCACCTGCCTGGAGACCAGCTCTCTCTGGGTGATCAGTTCTCCTGCATCAAAGCGAGCCTGCCTCCAGGGGAGGGCAGGGCAGCCAGTCAGGACAATGAGCAAGCAAAAAGGGAACCAGGAAACTACTGGCCACATCCCAGTCCACTCACTGCTGAGCTCTCTATGCCCCCTAGGGAGCTCTCTGCGGCCGCACTCTAGCCCCGAGGCGGAGGCCCCGTTCACTCACCACCACTGACTTGAGGATCTCTGTAGTGATGGACGGCAGCACCCGCTCGTCATAGTCCTCTCCAATGCTGGTGAAGATGCGGGGAAGCTGGCTGGCCACTGGCCGGAAGAGGATGCGCAGGGTGATGTTGACATTCTGCAAATCTGAGGGTAGGAGACAACTGCTTGCGTTAAAAATAAAAACCTCAGTGGCTTTCCATGACCTCTCCTACTCCGAATGTGTTACAATTAAAATGTAAAGCTGCTGATTTTAAGACCCCAGAGGGTAAGGCGCGTGTATGTGTGATTTCCTTTACAGAAAACCCAGCAAAACATCAGAGTTAGGAACTTCATAAGGGTTTCTGGCGGTGACACTTTCTTAATATGTTCTGAATGCCCTCTGATATAAGCAATTCAGATTTTATGTCTAAAGAGTACCATGGGATGTCTGGAACACTGAATACGTTAAGGAAAACAGGCCCAATTTCTAAGATGAAGACTTTCTAAGGCCTGGGGAATGTGGTCCAAGTCAGGAGCATGCCTTGGGAGGAGTTATCATAGGTCCAGCAGAAATAGTCCACTGTGGGCTTGACTAGCAGTCCAGAGGCCCGGGCTACAGCCACACTCTGCTGTTTACTAATTATGTGGCCTCATTAAGTCTTGACTAATCTCAGTGTATGTCCTTGTCTGTAGAAATGGGGGTGATTGTATCTGCCTTCCAGACATGCTGGGGGAAACTGAAGGAAAAAACAGACAGAGAAGCACTCTGTCAAGCACCTCACAGATGTAAGGGGTTACCAGACTTATTCAGAGTCCCCTTCTCATTACTCGGCCCAGTCAAAGGAACCAGAGATGAAATCACAACTTCCCCTGACCACTCAGGCCTGCTTGGAGCTGAGGCACTGTCAGGGTTAGCTTGCAGCTATCAATGATACGGGCCAGTGCCTGAGAGCTAGAGGTCTGAATGGGGTACCAAGAGAAGAAGGAAATGTGTACACAAAGTCCCTGATAGCTGACGTTCTTATCAGTTTTGAAAACAGGTACATAGTGTATCCTTAGAACAACTGCAGAACAGTAGAGAAAGAAATCCCCAAGAGGTGGGAAGTTCAGAACTAGGCTGTTAAGTTGGAATTTGATGTTTCTTTATTCACCCCACCCCACCTTTGATTTCCTCTTTTGTCGTAGGCAAGCCGGACCCTTTAGAGGAGGCTCCTCCCTCTTCCTGGCTGGGATCTACAGAACAGACTACACAATACCAATCTACCCTTCCCTGTCCTGTGCCCCCTACACTTCTCACTCTAAAGTCCCAGCTCAAATGTAGCTTCCTTGAAGGAGCCCAGCCAGCCACCCATGGGAGCCAGCTGCTCTTCTCTGCTCCCCTACATATGATGGATGACCTTCGCTCTAGGACTCAGCCCTCTCTACTGTCCCTGCTTGCTCACGTGGCTATCTCCCAAGCCAGACTGAGCTTCTAAATGCCCCTGCTTCATCATCTCTGAACTAGTCTGCCCTCCAAGCCAGTACAAAACCTGGCAGTCACAGTAAGCAGACATCTGCTGAGAATGGCACCAAACGCAGTGAGTGTTAATCAAGATAATAAACCAACATCCAATGTGACTGACCCTCCCCTCTTGCGAGGCAGAAATGTAACCACTGAGCCAGTATCTGCACTCCACTGGCTGCCTGTGCACCTGTGTGTGTGGTATAGTGTGTGTGTCGGGGGAGCAGGGGTCAGTGACAGCAACGCATTTTAGGCTCCGACCAGAAACCCAGTGGCGTGTCAGACATCAGGACACTGCTCTCAGGGATGAGGGCCTTGGGCTGTCAGACAACAATGTGAGGTCAGCACTGCTGGAAGCAGAGGCCTTGGGAAGGAAGGCCTTGGGAAGGAAGGCCCAGGGAAAGTCAGTTGTGAAAGCCAACATAATGGTTCAAGCTTGGTTTATACAGTCACTCTGGGGAACAAGAACTGACAGGAAGGGTCCTGAAGGAGCAAAGGGCACAGTTGGATTTCTTTCAAATCAGATCACTATGTAACTCTTGAAACCTATCTTTGTGTATTTCTCTAAACTTGTACAGTTGTCTATGCATCTTAAATATATATTTCTTTCTATGAGTCCATATAAAACTCCCCAGGAGAATATGCTAGGAATTCTTGTTATGTGAAGTTCAACCTCTTCTGGATCCCACAGAACCCATTCCACACTCCCTACCTCACCTGACCCATGGGCAAGACTCACCTTTGCTACCAGTGATGACTGGCACATTACGTGGTCGAGAGCGGCAGTCAAAGAGAATCGGTTTCTGTACCCAAGGGATGAGAAAGTGTGTCCCTTCCCCTACCACAATGTCCTGCACTCCACGGAACCGGTCAAAGATGACAGCTCTGTGCCCAGCATCCACTAGGAATGAAGGAGGGTGACAGGTCAGAAAAGTCCCTTTACCCTTTAACTAGAAAGGATGTCTTTGAAAGATCCCTGGTGCTTTCTGTTCATTTATGAAGTCTCTTCTCTCCTGCTCCATCTTCCCGCACTTCGGGTCTCTAGAGGCTTCTGAATAGCTACAGAACTAAGCAATCATGTCCTGTCCCACGAGTCTTCCCAAGGACTCCGGTAACAGAATCTATTCCTCAACATCCTTTCTTCTTCAAACAACCAGCTGCTGATTTTCTGATTAACCATCCCATCCCCAAACTCCAACCAACACATTTCCAGGACTCATCCCCTAAAACGTCTTTCTAAAACTCACCAAGATCTTGACTGTTACACATTCCATCCTGGTCCCAGTTTAACTCAGTGCTCCCAGCAGCAATGCCCTGACTATGGGAATCCTAAAATTTGGAAGGCCCCTTCTTTCCTTCCAATCGCCTGGTTTCTCTAAGGTTTTTAGTGGTTACAGAGCAGTTCTGTTGATTCAAAAAAACTCAGTGATGGTGGTTACTGTCTAGCAGGGTGGGGTGGTCAAAAATATCAAGAGTATAAAACTGCTACAGATAAGCCAAGCTGTATTTTCTGACCAGTTGCTTTTTGTCTTTGCCTTTTGGGATTTTACAGTTAGTCTAAATATCTTCACTCTGTGAGTAATTCTCCTTTCCTCAGATAGACATGAGATTAGTCAATATACTGTTGCTTTCCAACAGCAAAAGTTAAGAGAGTATCAGAATTGCGGGTGGAGTGTGTGTGGCAGGGGTCTTAGAGTTAAACCAGTTCAATCCCATTGCTTGGCCAATGAGGAAGCTGAGGGAGGGGGAAGTGACTTGCCTAAGGTCACACAAGAAAGTGGACAAAAAGTCAGCTTAAACCCCTGCCACAAAGTTAAAAACTGGGCAATGCTTCTCAAAGGTACTTTCTCTGGAACAAGCAAACTGCAGCAGAGAAAAGTTCCCGCTCAGGACAAGGTCGCCAAAGGTCTGAAGTCCTTGCTGAGTTACTGCACACACAGGCAAGAAAGAACAAATGAGATCTCCACTTCAGCTAGCCAATGAAATCCTGACACTCTGTGCCCAGCATCCACTAGGAATGAAGGAGGGTTACAGGTCAGAAAAGTCCCTTTACCCTTTAACCAGAAAGGATGTCTTTGAAAGATCCCTGGTGCTTTCTGTTCATTTATGAAGTCTCCTCTCTCCTGCTCCATCTTCCTGCACTTCAGACCTTCCCGCACGTCCCGCACCGCTCAGCACGGACTTCAGACCTTTGGCGTTAATTTGTCAGACTTCAAATTAACAAGCGCAACTGGAAACATCCAACCAGCAGCGGGCTGAGAGTCTCTTTGTGAATAAAGACTCTGAGAGAACAGGGCTTTACCGACAATGTCACCACACAGTGTGGGATGGCAGGAGGTGAGCCTTCTTGGTCACAAACACATTCAGACAGCAGCTGCCATCAGGAACGTCACAGGGGCTGTGCAGACCACCAGAAATCCTCCAGCAAAGGGCAGGGACCAACAACCGCTCAGTGCCTCACCGTTATACAAGGCAGAGTTCACCACACCTCCTGCAACAGCTAAGGCGAGGCCAAACTTGCCAATGGACTCAAACACTTTTGCAGCCATGTCTCCTCCTGCTGGACCCACTCACACCTAAGAGGGTAAAAACAAAACAAACAACTTGATTCCCAAATCCTCAGAGAAAGAGCCCCCTCCGAGGCACCATATTCACTCCTGAAGCTGGCTATTTACTTCCCAACTCCTGAGAGCCCTAAATTATCCACTGAAGGACACCTAATAACACTCTACAACTTGGAAAAGTGTAGTATCAGTTAACTCCGCTTTTTCCTTTTCCATTTCTTCTTTTTCTACCACTTAAGGAAAGAGGTCTGGGGCACTTGGTTCAATAAGGAGGCATGGGCTTGAAACCCACAGAGAATTTAGCACCACACTAAACCACCCTCCCGTTTCCTGGACAAGCAGGGCCCAAGAGAGAGACTATGTGGTTTGTTTCTGCGCAATTCTGGTTTGGGAAAAGTAACTCAATGTGCTACATGGTGATTCCAACAGCAAAAACGACGATGATAGCTAACCTTTACACTAGGCGGTCTTCTAACTGCAGTTAATTTAATCCCCACACCGACTCCTATTAGGTAAATTGTTACAGATGAGGAAACTGAGGCAGAGAGAGAGGTTACATGAGAAGCTCAAGACTGCACAACTATTAAGAACCTGGAGGTCTAATTGTAGAAGGCACAGCTAAACCCCTCACTATTCCGCTTCTCAGCATCAGGTATTGGGAATGACCTGTTACTGGGGACACAGGACCGTCTGACATTCTAAGACCAAGGTATCCTAAGAACCAACTGGGCAGGAAGGCTCTAAATAGCTGCACAGCGCGGGACAACTCTAAAATGAGGGGAACGGTGGCGCTGAGGCAGGGTGGGCGGGGGCAGCCTGGCCCAACTAGAATCTACTCCGGCACTAATTTTTTAAAGCCCCGCCCCGTCGTCGTCCACTCCAAATCCTTCCTCCCTCCTTACCAGACCTCAACTACCGAGGCCACCTGGATGTCTCCCCATGCATTTAAATGTTCCTTTCCCGAGCCCAGGACACCCCGTCCTGAGCCCTCAGCCTTTCCCTTTCTAACAGCTTCTGGATTATTCCTCACCCTGCCCCCATACACACCGCCCTTACTCTACGCAACCCCTGGCTCGTACTGGGCTCATCCCCTTTCTCCTCCAACCCGAGGCGAACCCACGCATGCACTCCACCCACCCAAATCGCTAATGAGTGCACAGGGGGACTGCACAGACAACGCGGCCACTGGCCGCAAGCCGCTCCCCTCCCTTCTCACCTGCTTCCACGCTGACCTCCACATGAATGCTTCAGTCTCCTTTACTGCGCATGCGCTGGGCAGCTCCTCCTCTTCCCACCCTCCTTCTAAGATCTGCCCCCCCGATTGGTAGGGAAGAGCGCTGTGCGTTCTGGGATGCGAGGCTTGCCCCACAAGCCTGGTTTCCTGGCTCTTCTAAAAATGAACTACATTTCCCAAGAAGCCATGCGACGAAAACCTTTTTGCTTTTGGTGGTAAACGCCGAGAAGTTACCGCAAAGCCTTTTGGGAGCTGTAGTTCCTTGGTAATGAACGCACGTGCCCGTCCTGAACCGGGGCTAGAGCCCTCCTGATGGGTCTGGGGACCCCGAAAGAGTGGCGGAACCTGCAACTGGTGGCAGCTATAGGCAGGGGGCAAGTTTACGGCTGATGGAAGAGGATGGGTGGACACCCTGGAGAACGTTGTGGTGAAATAACTGGTGGACTGAAGAATTCTCCTTCCCCTTGAGGGGAAGCTGATGGGCCGTCTTATTTACAAAACCCTGTCAGGAAACGTCCTGAGTCGTGAGACATTGATGGCCATAGCCAGAGAGAACCCTAGAAACCATCTGGATTAGAAAATGACGGCCAGAGTGGGGAAGGGATTGATTTGCGATCATGCACCCATTTAGCAACGGGGCTCAGCTTAGAGTCTGGGTCCCCTGAACACATTTAAAAACAAAATCTTATTTGGATAAGTTGTAAGAATAGTACAAAAACATGTATCCTTTCTCAGGTTCATTGGTTACTACCATTTTTCCTCCATTTGCTTAACCATTTGCTCCCTCCTGCTTATCCCCCTTGCCCCCTTCCTCTCTTTTTGTATTTTCTAAGAATCAGGACATTCTCTTATATAATCTGAGTAAGCTTAATCTATCCTTGCATTCCAGTTTTGTCTGTTGACGTAATAATGAACTTTATAATAACTCCCTACCTCCTAATACAGGATGCAATATAAAATACTGTCTTTATTTTTAACTTTACTTTAACCTTCTTTAATCTGAAAATTGTCCACAGCCTTCTTGTGTTTTATTTATATTTCCCAGAAGTACCCCACAAATATCCCCTTATGTGTTCTAGGGCAGAATTTTATCATCTGCCCACTTCTAGACCAGTCATTGGCAAAGGAATGGCATTGTCATGTTGGAACTCAATGGATCAAATGTCAAGTTCTGGGGTTGGGGAGATGCCTGTCTTCTAAACCACATGACTGCCCAATACCCTAAAAAATTAAAATTAGGGTTTTTGTCAGAAAGGAACAAGATAAAGTGGGGAATGGATGTTGGAACTGCAACCAGCAGTGTCTGCCACAAGGTGTCTATTTTGGACAAGCTGGTCAAGGAGGCCTTTATGAGGGGATGACATTTAAGGCAAGGTCTAAAGGTGTTAGATGCAGAAAAGGTTGGGTTGGGTGGGAGAAGAGCACTGAAGCAGAGGGAACAGCATGTGCATGTCAAGCACAAGGCAGGGTACGACTGATAGGTTTGCCTGGTAAGGAGACAAAGAGCCCTTCTCAGATTCAGACATTGGTTACATAGGCACCAGAAGGAAGAGTAGCCAAAGGTGCCAGCTTCTAGTGGCTCTTGTGTAGGGTGACACCCAAACAAATGGGGCCAGATGACTGCAACATAGAAGTGAGGACACCCCGTTGCTGACAAGCTGATGCCATGCTTCAGCTAAGCAGTATTATGGTTTGCAGCTGTATTCTTAGGGGGGTAAGACTGAAAGCTTCAGACCTCATCAGAACCCAGAGGCTATGAGAATTGTTTCATGACAACTTTCCTGGTAAATAGGAAAGTGAATGAGAAATGGCCTTGTAGCAGCTCCTCATAAGGCTCCCTGTGTTCCAGGAGGATCGCAGGTGTTCTGCCAAGACTAAGATTGAGCTAAGGTTCCAGCCTTGGCTAAATTGACTATGTAGAAATGTAAAGATAAATATGGCCAGAGCATAGTGAGTGAACAAGAGGGTTACTCAAGTTTACAATAGTAAACTAAGCAAGCACCAATGTTGTATGCTTTGCTAAAAAGTTTTAAGTGCAGTGAAAAGTCCCTGAAAATTTCTAAGCATGAGAGTGAATAAACCAGCCCAAGAAAGAAACCTAAAGATCCTGACAGTTGGAAACCCCCAATGAAAGGGCCCACGCAGGTCACCCTAGAGCAATGGTTCTTAAACATTTTGGTTTTAGAATCCTTTTGTATTCTTAAAAGTCATTCTCAAAGAGCTTTTAAAATATGGGTTATATATAATGAAAATGAGATATTTAAAAGATACTTGCTCATTTAAAAATAACTAATAAACCCACTATGTGTTAATATAGTTTATGAAAAATAACTGTAGTTTCCCAAACAAAAATATTTAGTGAGGAGAGTGGCATTGTTTAACACTTTTGCAAATCTTGGGCTCCTCATTCATTCTGTTGTGCTGTCACAGGTCAGGTAGCCTCTGGAAAACTGCTGTACACTCAGGAGAGAATGAGAGTGAAAAAGGTAAATACTGATTTATATTATCATGAAAATAATTTTAACTTCAAGCACTCCTTCCAAACAGGTATGAAGTACTCCCAGTGTTACCTGGATCACATCTGGGGAGTCACTGCCTTAGAGTGAAACCCACCACTGGACAAGCACTCATGTACATGAAGCTTCCAACCAACTTTTCAGTGATTGAATTAATTGGATAGGGACCTATTTTATGTTATCCAAACATAAAAGCTAAAAATGTAAAACTTTTAGAAGAAAAGCAGGAGAAAATCTTCAAGATCATGGTAAGAATTTCTTAACAGGACACAAAAAGCACAAATCATGGGGAAAAAATTGATAAATTGGACTTCATTAAATTTAAAACTTCTGCTTTTCAAAATACTTTGTTAGGAAAAAAGTTTGTTTAAAGCCACATACTGGGAAAAAATATCTGCAAAGTATTTATGTGACAAAGAACTTTAATTCAGTACATATAAAGAACTCTTATAACTCCAGAAAGTAGACTAAAAATATAAAAAGATGGGTAATTGGAGAGAAAACAATAGAGAATCAATTCTCTAATAAGGTTTGACATCCTACTAATAGGAGTTGCAGAAAATAAGAACAGAGAAAGCAGAGGGCACTATAATTAAATAAATAATACAATGAACCGAGGAGCATGAGTTTCAGATTAAAAGCACAACAAAACAAAACAAAAAGTTTCAATTTGAACACAACAAATGAAAAAGACTGATCACCATGAACTTTCAAAAGGATGAGAAAAACAGATTCTAAATGCTTCTAAAGAGAAAAGAACTGGATCAGGATGGCTTGGAAATCTCACCAGCACCACTGAAACTTAGCACTGAAACAATGGAGCAATGCTTTCAAATTCTAAGGAAAACTGGTTTGCTGCCTATTATTCTATACCCAGTTAACTGCTCAAGTGTGATGCTAAGACCAAGACACTTTTGGAATACAAAGTCTCAGAAATTTACTTTCCATGCACAATTTCCCAGGAAGCTACTTAAGGATGAGCTGCAGCAAAAAGTGGGAGAGAAAATTTAAAGCTAAGACATAGAATTCAGGAAACAGGAGAGAGGCAAATGGGATCTCTAGAATGATGGAAAGGGAGCTTGTAGGAA